GATTGTGTTGACAACATTTAAGATTTAGTCTCTTAGCCACTTCCAAGTCCATGATACAGTATCACCAGCTATAACCATCGTGCTGCGCAATAGATCCCTGGAACTTATTCATTTTTTAACTGGAAGTTTGTCCCACGTGACTAAGATCCCCCTTTTCCCTCACCCCACAACCCCTGGTAATGACTGTTCCGTGTCTGTGGGTTTGGTTTTTTAAGATTCCACATAAAGTGATATTGTAGAGCATTTGTCTCTCTCTGCCCAGCTTATCTTAGCATAATGCCCTCAAGATTCATCCCAATTGTTGCAAATGGTAGGATGTCCTTTTTCATGGCTCAATAATATTCCCGTTGCACATCTGTACCCCATCTTCTTTATCCAGTCGTCTGTTGATGAACACTTAGGTTGTTTCTATACCTTGGCTGTCATGTCCACTGCTTCTTACATTATGCCTGGGTCCTGCCTACTCTGGGGAATTTGTCACAGGCAGAAATTTCCTCTAAAGTTCCCACCCCAAGCCTCCCACCCCAACCAACCACTGCTGAGATGCTAATTCTTTCTAATTCTCATTTCCTCCCTCCTCCATCCTTGGTCGACTCCGAAACACCTTTCGGACCAAGCTCCCTCCTCCCCATCCTCAACACCTGCCACAGGAGTGTCCCGAGTGCCTCCCGCCCGATGTCACCTTCCTCTGGCATCTCCGTGGGAAATGGGGTTTGTCATCTTGTTTTCATCCCACGTCCACATCTAGTGTCAAAATGTTAAAATGCCGAGTGACTGTTATAGAAGTCGTCACAGTCACAGAGCTATACTCTTATAAGCAATGCTTCAAAAAAATTCTGTTGAACGATTGTAATTTCTATCTCTGGGCACCTGAGCCTGGCACGGACCCTGCCAGAGGGCAAGTAGGAACCTCATCTCTTACAAAACCTCTTTGCTAAGGGGAGCTCAGGGGGCAGGAGCGATGGACACATCTAGAATCCATTCTCCGCTATGATCACATTGAGCACCTACCCCAGGCCGAGCCCTGCACGGGATCCAGGTATGAAATGGCAAACAGAGCGGACGAGGTAAGACCCCAACAATTCTGAGTCCTATGGGGACAACAGGCATGAACAATCAAGCACTAACATCCATAAAGAATCATAGCTTTTCATAGCCCAGCGGCAGGTAAAGATGGTGGGCATAATTTATGGAGGATGTTTGAGAGAGTCTTTTTTTTTTAATGTTTATTTATGAGGAAGAGACAGAGCATGAGCGGGGGAGGGGCAGAGAGAGAGGGAGACACAGAATCCGAAACAGGCTCCAGGCTCCGAGCCGTGAGCACAGAGCCCAATGCGGGGCTCGAACTCACAAACCGTGAGATCATGATCAGAGCCGAGGTTGGATGTTTAACTGGCTGAGCCACCCAGGCGCCCTGAGAGTGTCTTTCTGGAGTGTCTTTCTTGAGGTTGGAAGGACTCAGAGGAACCACGATGGGAAGAGAAGGAAGGGTGGTAGGTATGGAAGGAGTCATGAGGGGGGGTGGGCCCCAAGGAGGTTAAAGAAGGAAACACATATTTGCACACTGTGTTAAACACTGAACAAGAAACTAAAAATGGGAGTACAGATGGGAGGTTATCAAGGAAGGGGCTTTTCAGAAAGACAGAAGTTTCATCTGAAACCTACGGGATGAGATGGAGCATCCATTCAAAGACAGAAGAGTATCATAAAAGAACGACGTGTGCAAAGGGCCTGAGGCAAGAAGGAGCTGGGCCTGTTTGGGGAAGCCATACCAGCTAGGGAGTCTGGAGTGTGGTGGTGAGGAGTGGAGTCCAGAACAAGAGCAGACAGACGGACACTGGGCAGGCACGTAGGGCAGCACAGCTTAGTACTCTAAACGTTATTCAGAATGTATTAGGGGTACCAAAGGCTTACAATTGAGGTGGGGAATACGGCCATATTTACATCTTCTTAATGACTCTCCTTCCTTTTCCCAGCCACCACCCACCTCCACAGGGTGATGTCCGCAGACTCTCCAGGCCTCTTGTCATCGAACCCATCAGTGTTTCACACGGGTGAGCCCTCCCTGGTCCCAAACCCACCATCCTCACTTGGCTTCCAAGAACACTACACTGTCCTGCCTTCCTTCTACCCGCTGGCCGCCCCTCCCCACCCCCAATTCACCACTGCCACGTTTCCACGACACTATGACACTTGAGGGCTTTGTGGCCCAGAAGTGGCTTCTCCTTGCTCTCACTGTTCGACCTCTGGTGCCAATAAAGCCCAGTCCTTCACCACCTCCCCTCTCAGGCAAGCATTCCGATGTTTCTCGTGCCTTTTTGTGTTCTGACAAAATGTGGATGATGTTCTAGGAAAAATATGTCATGGAACGGCCCATGTAGTGACTGCTCATGTCACAGACGGTCTCAGACAAGACAGTGGCCTTGACTTTCTCCTCTCCGCCACATCCGAGGCCTCCGCTGCTCTTCTGCCCTTCCTGGCACCCGGGACCAGCCCGTCTCAAAGCCTTCTCACGTGGCTGTCCCCTCAGCCTGGACCCCATGTCTCTCCAGAGCGGATTCCTTTCCCCGCGGCCTGCTTGGAGCAGGAAGTCCCGCCCCTGCTCTCACCAACCCTCAGGACTGCCTTTGCAGGGCCTTCCTTCTGCTCCGACAGTCTTCTAATAAAAATTCCATCTGTGAATTCTCCTCACACAACGTGTGAGAGGGAAATGTGCCCATTTACACCCACTTAAAGGCTTGGCTCGTCTCTCTGCAGGCCAAACCCCTCATTCTCTCACTTCCTCTGACTTCGGTATTCAGTCATTGAACAACGATGGCCGCAGTGCCCCCCTCACGACGGTCTGACTGCAGCTGACTCCCACGCAGGGAGGGCAGATGAGGCCCTGGGCGGCAGCACGTGGTGATGGAGAGAGCACACTCAGGAGACCGGGGTGCCACTTCCCAGACAGGTGCCCTCAGTCACATCCCTAACCCTCTGGGCCTCAGGTTCTCTCCGTGAAACTCAGCGGAGTGCGGTGAGGAATAAGTAGGGAAATGCCGTGACTTAACACAGTAGCTGGTGGATGAGGAAAGCTTAGTGCATGCTGGAGAAGCCCACCAGGACGGGAACAGAGGGCTCCAGTGGTGGGGGGGGCAGGGGGGGCACAGAGCAGAGGGCACCTCTATGCTGGGGGGATAGAGATGCTCCTAGTGAGGTACGTCTGAAGGTTTGCAGACAAAAACCGAGCACAGAGTAGTTGTTTATTCACTGTCCCAGCAGGAACTATTAACACATAAAGGTTCGAGTTTCATATCAACAATGTCCAAAAAAAGATCTTTTATCTCCAGGGGGGGAGGGGCAACCATGCAATTCTGAATTTTCACTGTGAATAGGGCTTGAGTGGGAGGCATTGACCGCCTGCAAGCTTGTGCCTCCCTCTCCTGGAGGGAGCTTGAGACTTGCTGGGAGCGGACGCAAGCTCTAGGTTTCTGTGGTAAATCGGCCTTCTTTTTCTCCCCTGAAGAGCTGCCTTTTCCCTGACGTAAGGAGAAAAGCTTGGGGTCTTTGTGCGTCAGGCCTGGAGCCCAGATGCAGGCCGTCTGCTCCCCAGATGAGGGTTCTTGGGCTGCCTGGTTCAGCCAGAACCAGCTCCATGGACCCTGGACCAGAGCCCAAGCCTCAGTGCTCTATGGGACCCTTGGGGGTCCCTACCTGAGCCTGTGGTCTGGGCAGCTAGGGAGAAGGCAGAGACACTGCTGTCAGCGGCCCAGGCTGACAGGTGGGGGAGGCAGGGCTGGCCAGGAACGGAAAGGCAGGTGAACGTGCAGCTTCCAAGACCTTAGCCCTTCCAAGACCTTCCGAGGACCACTCAGGCCCCTTGAGTGCTGTGCCCCGGGAGCCACCTGGCAAAGGCAGAATCTCCTCATGACACCTCAGCCAACTTGTCTACCGCTAGGAGTTCAGCTCCGCCACCTGGGTCACTACTTAACATTAGATATTCGGCCCTTACGAGTGGCCTCTCTGGAAGGGGCGTCTGAGGGGCTCACACACTTACTCCAACAGCATTCAGACCAAGAGGCCAAAGAGAGAAGGGCTGGAAGCTACGGGGTTCCGGACCCATCTAAGGGGCTGGCCACCTGAGCTGGGACAAGCTGCTTCTCTGTCCTGACTTCACATATCCCTGCCCAGGGCTCACCAAGAGGTGAGCAGCAAGCTCAGGTCTTCAGGACAGAGGCCACAGAGCTGCTGGTCATTGCTCAAGCCTCCGTCCGGCATGAGATGGGAACAGGGTTGGGGGCTGCGTACGGGCTCCCGAGTCAAAGCCCCTGGATCACGTGTGGGTCCTGACACATGTGGCTGTAGGACCTTGGGAAAGTTACCTAGGCGGTCTGCGACTCAGTTTCCCCATATGGAAAGTGGGAATGAGGTGTCACCTCACCGTGTTGCAGTGAAGAAGAAACGAGGTCGGTAATTGGCTCGGGCCCTCGAACACCATAGCTGCTCAGCAGGTGTCAGCCCCTGTTCCTGTCCCCGCCGGATGCCTAGCCTGAGATGCCTCCGTGAAGGCCCTTGGCTCAGGGCACAGGCCACAGATGGGAAGGGCACAGCCAGCACACCCAGGATCCCTGAGATCTGTGAGGGAGGAGGGGACCAGCCATGGGGGAGGCGTGGGGGGATTTACTCTTCACAGGGGTGGTTTTTCCACTCAATTAACGTCGCCTCAGTCTGAGGGAAAAGCAGGGGGATAGTGTGACTACCGCCATGAGAAGGTCTGACCCCAGGCACCAGCAAGCCCCCTGCCATTCACAGTGACGACAGCACAGGGCTAGCCCTAGGGGTGCAGCTTGGTCCAGGAGGGGGCAGTGGGTGGGGAAGGCACTCCCTGCAGTGGCGGGGGGGGGGGGGGGGGGGGGGAGCGGTCAGGGCCCTGGGTCTGGGACATCTGAGAGTTGGGGTCCTGGACAAGAGGTGCCAATCCAGAAGCTTCCAGGGCGAGGCAGGCCCTGCGCCCACCAGCTCTAAAACACGAGCTTCTTGGGAATTTCCCATGGGAACTCGTTTCTTCCAAAATGGCCGTAGCACGCCGTCCTCTGGTAGATGGGCTTCTTCAAATCCAAGTCCCTGCACAGTCAGCAGAGGAAAGGGTCATTTTCAGTGGAAAAGGAGCAGAGTTTCTCTGAATTTTGAGCACAGGAGTAACAAACAGAGTGTGGACTGTCACTGCTCAGAGCAATTTCCCATACATTTCCTGTCTACGCCACACCACATCTCATGAGGTGACTGTCACTGGCCCCTGGGAAACAGGCTCAGAGGTTCGGGGACAGCCTGGTTACACAGACACACCCAGGACTCAGAATCTGAACTCTGGCCTTGCTGTGCCTTCCTCCTCTTCTCTCCTCTCCACTCTACTGGCCTGGTGCAGACCAACCACACGGCCAAGCTCCACAAAGCAAGAGCGGCCTCAGAAACATGGGCCAATGGGACCAGACCCGCCAGCTCAATTCTCAGCATTCAGCCTTGTGATTACTTTCCTACAATCCCCCACCTGCTCAAAGATGGCCCCCCTGGATGGTCAGCGTCTCTGGGCCAGCAGGGACCTTAGACACCCCCTTCAACCTGAAAAGCAGACATCTTGCACTTGGGGTGTGCATTGAGCTGGGCTAGGAGCTTGGAGGCCCTCCTGCTCCGGGGAGGCTGAAAGTCCTTTTTTTCCCTTTCTCTTTCAGAGGAGCCAGACATCTGGGTGAGGGGGGGAGGAAGGGCCCGTCTGGCAGCGATGGGGCAGTGATTTACCTGACGATGACCCCGGGCCGAAGGTCAAAATTCTTGTTGACCACATCTAGCAGCTCTCTCTCTGTCTTCTGAGAGGTTCCATAGGTGAAGATGGAAATGGACAGTGGCTCAGCCACACCGATGGCGTAGGAAACCTTCCAGAAGAGACGAGGGTCAGGGACAAAAGCCTCTGTGCAGGGGGTCTGCCCTTCACAGAGATCCCGATGCCCTCAGAAAGGGGCAGCTGGAACCACCCATCCCTGGCCCGAACTGCTCCCCAACCTCGTCTGTCTAGGAATCTCCACCATCTTCACAGAGAGCAGATTCTGTATGTGCCCCTCTCCCTGAACATTTTTTCCCTCCCTGAGGTTTTCAGGGTACATGCCCCGGTGCCCCATGCAACACACAGTCACAGCCTTTGGCAAGGAGTGTGCCCCCCCCCACCCCGCAGGCCAGCACAGCCTCAGCCGGGGCAGAGGTGGGGTGGTCGGACTGGGGCTGACCCACCTGCACGAGCACTCTCCGGCAGAGTCCCGCTTTCACCAGGGACTTGGCCACCCAGCGGGCAGCATAAGCTGCTGAGCGGTCCACCTTGGTGTAGTCCTTTCCGGAGAAGGCCCCTCCACCGTGCGCCCCCCAACCGCCATAGGTGTCCACGATAATTTTACGGCCAGTGACGCCCGCATCCCCCTGCAGACAGAAAGGAAGAAATGGAGGGGGGGTATGAGAACCAGGGTCCCCACAGGGCAGGGCAGACGGGCGGCTGCAGCACCATGATGGCCACCGTACTAACAGGGAAAGAGGGCCCTGAAGCTGCCCGTGGGCACTTTTCAAAGACCCGCCTCCCCCCACTCCCCACCCCCAAAGCTGGGAGTCAGACAGAAACCTTGCACTCTCACCCCAGTTCAGTCACTGACCCATTACAGCACCCAGGTAACCTGCCAGAGCCTCATCATAAAGTGCAAACGAGGGGACAGAGGTTCCCTGGAATCCTAGCCAGCTCCTACTTCAGCCTGTTTTTATGAGTCAGTTGTGATGGGCAAATCCGAGCTGCAGGAGGGCCCTGAGCCTCGGCACACACACCCTGGGCCGTGGCCCTGGCTGGCGTTTCCTCGAGTGTCTGCTCTGTGCGACATTGGGCAGTAATGATGGTTTGTTTTTTGTTTTTTTGAAGGGGGGAGGGGCAGAGGAAGAAGAAGAGAGAAAGTGACAAAGAGACAAAGAGACAGACAGACAGAGAGAGAGAGAGAGTGGGGGAGAGCAGAGAGGAGAGGGGAGGACAGAGGATCCAAAGCAGGCTCCACACTGACAGCAGAGAGCCTGATGTGGGGCTTGAACTCACAAACCACCAGGTCATGACCTTAAGCCAAAGTCGGATGCTTAACAGACTGAGCTACCCACGCCCCGGGAGAGACAGAATCCCAGGCTTGGAGACTCACTCAGGGCTCGATCCCATGATCCTGGGGCCTTGACCTCAGCTGAAATCAAGAGTCAGATACTCAACCAACAGAGCCACCCGGGGGGTCCCAGTAATGATGTTTTAAAAGGGCAGGGGCTCCATGTCGAGTACTTTGGGGAAAGACCACGTACTCTATCCCTTTGCTTAGAGATCCACACTTCCCACTAGCACATCTAGGCTTTGGGAAGTCCTGCAGTCCTGCAAGAAATGACAGTAAGCTTTGCCTTTCTTTCCCCCTGTGTTTCTGCACTACATTTGGTCACGGAACCCGTTACGGGGGCTCCGCTCTGAGTAACACATCCCCTCTGAGGCGCCCCTGGCAGAGGTCAGCAGCCTCTCAGATGTGCTCTGCCGATCTCTACGTCCTCTCTCCTGCCGTACAGGAGGAAGGGGACAGCAGGGGTCCCCGCCTAAAACCTGCCCCAACGCGAGTTGAACATAACCTGTGGCAAAGACCCAGTGATGCCACCTGGGAAAGGCCAGTCATCTGCAAAGGTGAGCTGGCATCTCAGCAGGGCAAGGCGGCAGCATGGGGCAGTATGACATGTCTGGAGAGGGAGGGCCAGGCTGCACGAGGTGGGAGAGTCCTGGGGACATGTCCCCAATTCCTCCTGCACTGACACACGGACAGCAGGCCCCACGGAGTATGAGCTGACCTCATGTTGTGTCCAGGGCCGGACGTGGCTGAGTCACACAAAGCCACCTCCTCCTTTGCGCCCAGGGAGGTGAGCAACCCCAGTAACAAAGACGAATCAGGAGAGATCTGCTCTGAGGCAAGGGCGCACCTGGGGACCTCCGATGACAAACCGCCCGCTGGGCTGCAGGTGGTAAATGGTGTCTTCGTCCAGGTATTTGGCTGGCACCACGGCCTCGATCACCTGCTCCTTCAGGGCCTGGCGCATGTCCTCCAGCGTTATGTCTTCATTGTGCTGCACGGAGATGACGATGGTGTGGATGCGCACGGGGATGACCGCGCCGTTGTCCTGTATGTACTGAACTGTCACCTGTCGGGTCACAAGGGCAGGGGAGACGTTGTGAGGCCCTGCCCTGAACTGAGGACACACCGCGGCCAGGCACAGACACTCGGACGGCAGGCGGGGCTCCCAGGATCCAAACGAAGGTGGGGGGGGGGGGCTCCTGTCCTCCAAGGACCTCCAGAAAAGTTAATCTGACACATTCTTGTATTTGAGTAGCTGCCCAGTGCCAGGGGATGACTGGGCATGAGGCATAAGCTATTCCCAGCTATGGCCACAATTAGTGCCACTTAGAGACTCAGGGTTGCAGAGTTTCCTCTCTATTTGTGACCCAGCTAGCCTCCTCCCCTTCTATCTCAGCGGGTTCTGGGTGCCACGAGTCCCCCCTGGCCAAAGCCCTTTTCTGACCCTCCATGGTGCAGAGCCAAGGTATCCTGGCTCCTGCCAAGGAGCACAGGTGTCCATGAGCCACACCGGCTGCCCCAGTCCCTCAGTGGAGGAGCTCTGGAAGTGTGTGGGGCCAGAGGACTGGCCTGCTGTAGGGACAGGGTGAGAAGGGCTCAAGTCAGGCTGGCAGAAATGGAGCAGCAAGCTTGGGAAGGCCAGCCTCCGGGTGTTTGAGCAAAAGAAAGGAAAAAAAGCTGAGAGCACATTGGAGGGAAGGAACCCGCCTGCGGTGCCCTTGCAGGTCGAGCCACGGGGGCAGTTCTAATGCTCGCTTCTACCCCGGTGGGGCCATCTGCGCATGATCAATTCACATTTCGGCCATCCCGCAAGACAGGCATTATCATCTCCACTTCACAAATGACAAAAAACCAGGCCAGGAGAATCGAATCAACTCGTCTGAGGTTACACAGCGGTCAGCGGAAAGCCAAAGAGCCAGACCCGGTTCTGCCTGATCCCAAAGCTGGTGTCGTTCCCGTAGCAGCACAGACAGAATCCTTCCTCAGAGACCCTGTGCTATAGTGACACGTCAGTGAGTGTGAGAACCCGATGCCACAGCCTGGTCTGACTGGTAACAGAGGACTGCGGTCTGGGCACCCGGGCTTGCGGGGCGAAAGGGAAGGGGACAGTGAGGATGGCGGATGAGGCTGGAGGGAAACCAGCTCGGACTGCAGTGCTCTGTATGCGGAAAGCCACGCCAGAAGCTGTGAGAAGCTGCTGGCAGCCCTGTGTTAAAGACGAGAGAGCTGGAGCTTCAGAGCATGAACACCTCGGTCAAGACCACACAGCCAGCAGAGCTGGGCTCTGACCTGGAGCTCTATGGCCTGGTAGCCGGGGCTCTGCCCAGCAGAAGGCTGTCACTCAAGACCCCGAGGGACACATGGGAGCCCCAGGCCCGCGTGCCACCCGGGGCAGTGTGGACCCACAAGAGCAGTGCCCAGAGGAGGCCTGGGGGTGTGTGGGGCCTGTGGGAACGCGGCTACGCTAGGTGTCCCTGGCTGACAGCCTTACTTCCTACCCCAGGGCCTTGAGAGGACCACGGGACAGCAAACAGTGCCTCCCCGGGGACGTGCCTGCAGCAGGGTCTCTGCCCGCCCGAGGCCCCTCAGATATCCGCCAAACACTGGGCCTGCATCAAATTCCCGCTCTGTGCCCTGCCTGGTTCAAAGAGCAACAGGGTGGGATCCGGAAGAAGGAAGGGAGAGAGCCCTTCCCATGTGATGTATGACCCTCGTTCGAGGGGCAGGTGCACAGTGACATCTGTGTCCCGAGACCAACCTTTAAATCCTGGGCTACGTGCACACAGCTGTGACAGGCTGCTGGAGTGGGGGCGGGGGCCCCCAAGAGGGGAGGCCCTGTGAACCGGCTCTGGGACCAGATCCACGGCATCAGCATCAGGCCCTGGGAGAAGGCCCGCCTCCTCCGCTCCCCCGTTGCCAGCCGTGAGCCCAGGCAGCGTTCCTTCCACGCAAAATCACAGGGCTGTGGCCGAGCCAAGGGTTCTGAGCATGCCTCTTCGCTCATCATGTCAGCAAGATGGGGGGGGCGGGGAACACACCACGGAAAACACAACTCTGACCAGGTACAAAAATAGCCATCCATACTGCTGCTCGGTTCTCAATACCAGCAGCCAGAATTTGCTCAGGTGGAAAGACTCGTCCTGTTCACAGTTAACACTCTGGTCAGATGATGAGAGTCCTTCACAAAGAGGCCATGGAGCCGGCCTAGAAACCGGTCCTGGCACGGTGCCGCTCACCTCCAGGCAGCTGTGTGCAGGGGCCCTCGGGCGGTGGGGCCAGACCCGCACCCCTGCCCCTGAGATGCCCGGGGCTTGGCACCCCCGCGGCAGGGCAGTGAGGCGGACTTTGGTATCCAAAGTAGCATTAAGAGAATTCCATGCATCCCTGCAGGAGGAGAAACCCTGGAGGAGCACACCCCCGCCCCCACCCCTCCACTGCTGAGCAGGATGACACGGGCCTTCCTATTCAGCCGGCCCCACCGCGGTGCCTCTGGGTCTCACTGCCACACAAGGAAAAGGAGAGCCCCAGCGCTCTCCTTCCTCCAGCCTCTGTTCTAGGCTTCCGTTTTCTGCAGACGTGCCTCCCACCTCCCGACACAGCGCAGCTCTGGCGCACGATGGAGCCGGGTGCGCCAGCCGCCATGCGCCCCGTTCCTTTGATACCACTGCAGTCTTCGTATTTGAGCTCTCCCGCCCCGGGACCTCAAAGAGCAGCCGAGGAATGCTGATGATGGAGGCATGTGGAGAACACCGGGAAAGGTCGGCTGTAGGCCACACATGCAAGTCCTTGTCCCGGGTTCAGACAGTTGCAACCTGTGCCCCGCGTGGCCTCGCACCTGTGGTCAGGTGGACACGCCTCTGTGCAACGGGGGCGACGGGACGGTCACGGTCAGCCATGCTGAGCTATACAACCGCACGCGCCAAATTCCAAGTCCGGGGGCAAGAGAAGGCCCCGTCTGGTGGTGGCCACCGGGGAAACCACGGGAGGTGGGAGCTTCCTGGCCACTGACGGACAGGAGGGAACCGAGCAGATCCCAGGAGAGGCGAAGGGCGGGAGCAGAGGCACAAAGCACTAGGGAGTGAAGTAACTCCGACTAAGCAAGGACTGGGGTGGGGAGGTAGAGGAAGGTAAAACTGGAAGACCATAAGGGGCTTCAATGCCAACATAACAAGCGGGGGGTTCTCCCCCTGCGGGAAGCAGAAAACTGTAAAGGATTCCGAGCCAGTATTAGGAAATTAAAAGTCCAAAGGGAGTTAAGTGGAGTTTCCAGGCAGGGAAAGTCCTTGGGAGGGCACGGCGCAGATCCCTGCTGTGGCCTGGGAACCAGGCTGGAGCAGAAGAGGTGCTCTCTAGGCAAAACATGGAGCGAGGCTGGGTGGAGACAGAGGGGGTGCTGAGCAGGATGGGGGGGACACCATGGCCCTCCCTGGAGCCGAGGAGGAGGTGACCGTGAGGCTGCACACGATGGCTCTCCGGCACACATGTGTGTAGGGGGAATGAGAAGCAGGGCTGCTGGTCCAGACACCCTACAGGTGAAAGCTTTGGGTGCTGAGTGTGCCAAAGTAGGAATTGGGCGCAAGCATGGGTGGAAGGGGATAGGGTGTGCAAAAGTGCCAAGGACCCGTTGGGGGGTGGGAGATGAGCCAAGGGAGAAAGCCCCGGGAAAGGGGCCAATAGGGCCGCCAGGGTGACACGGGGCAGTGACGTGGAGAGGGGAGGTGGACGGGGCGCCTCCACCCACATGCGCTAACACTTGCATCATTGCCGGCCTTCACATGTGGACTCCGGTGAGGATTTCCCCACGGTCCAGAGCAGAGAGGTCAGGGCCCATGGGAACAGAGAGTCCAAAACAGCAACGGGAAAGCCTTTTTGCGAGAAACAGTGATAAAGGGCCACAGCGAGGCACGGATGGCCCTTGTCAACTCGGCGTTCAGACCTTGCTCAAGGTGTGGAGACCTGTGGGTGTGGACGGGCAGTGACCAAAAGTGTGAAGCCAATTAAGAAGTAAATGTGTGGCAGGAACCAGGGAAACACATTGCCAGAGTCAACATATGCTAAGAAGGCAAAAAAAAAAAAAAAAAAAAAAAAAAAAAAAAAAAAAAAAAAAAAAAAAATCCAGAACTGTTCTTTCCATTTTTCTGTATTTTTGAGACTTTTCACAATAAACATTAGGGGAGAAAACATGTAGACCTGAAGAGTTTTCAGATAAATAGTTCTTTTCACAACCAACAATATTTTGAGTGCCCGGACTGACCATTTTGATGCCAACAATGACAAGTACCGAGAGGTCCCAGAGGGGTGTCTGGGTCCCCAGTGTGTGTCTGGGGCTCCACGGGAGGGGGGCAGGAGGAGGCTCACCTGGGTCTTGGAGTCAGGCCTTAGCCAGGGGAGGACCCCGGAGCGTCTGAGTTCCGCCATTCGGGCATTGAGTTTGTGGGCAAGGATAATAGTGAGGGGCATACACTCTTCTGTCTCGTCGGTGGCATAGCCGAACATCAGACCCTGGAGGAGAGCATCAACGGAGCAATATGCATTTTATCTTCTCATCTAAAGCGTGGCTGTATTGGGTGCCCTGTGCATGTATAACATCTGCACGGGGAGGCGGGGGCACTTGTGGACAGGAAGACAAGACAACGCTCTGGGAGGGGGGAACAAGCCCAAATTGGGCATCGGCGACCACAGTCTTCCACAAGCAGGCCGTGCCCTCAAGTCGCTGCCCTGAAGCAGGGGTGTCCTAATTTATTCCAGGCGCATGGACCCCTCCCCCCGGGAGCTCCTGCTAGGATCGGGGGGGGTCCCACCCCACAGCGTGTCCAATCCATTACTCATGAACTTCCCAGCTGTCAACTCAGCGCGGGTCAGAGCCAGGGCTGACACAGACAATGCTATCATGACCCCTGACCCTGCACTCCACGTGTGGTCACCTGGTCTCCGGCCCCGACGTCTTCTTCGTTTCTGTCCAAATGTACACACTGGGCAATATCCGGGGACTGCTGCTCCAGAGCTACCAGCACATTGCAGGTCTTGAAGTCAAAGCCTAAGCAGAAGGGAAAGCAGGCCTTCGTGGGGACATGTGTCAGACAGAGGGTGGCTTCCAGCGTCCTGGCAGACCGCTCAGCTCCCGACACAGCATTTCTTGTGGGGGGTGGGTGGTCTCTAACCAGCTGGGATCTGTCTGGGACCTGTTGGGCGGAGCTGAGGCCCAGGATGGGGAAGGCCATGTGTCCATCCCATGTTATCATCTGGAAGCCTGGTCGAAGAAAATCCTCCACAGCACATTTTACTACATTAAATTATACCTAGATTAGAAATCTATATCCTACACAGAACGGCAAGATGAAAACCAGATAACGGCTGCGGCTGCGCTGGGTGACTCGTGGCCCTGCCCCCTTACTCTTCTGGAGGCACGTTCCAAGACCCAGGCTGAAAATCACCTTCCAGCACTGCTGTTCGGAAGCCCAGGCGTAATCCACGTTATGAAACACACTGAACAAAGACAGTGCACGTGAACTATCCAGAGAGGCTCCCAGAGCTAGAGTCCTCTGATCCCAAGCTCTGCACAGGGCCTGAAGCCAAATGGAAAAGCCACACCTCTGGAGGCCACGGCCACGTCTGCCCACCCCCAAAGTTCAGGCACACACATGGAAGCTGTTCTTCCCAGGCTCCCTGCCACAGGCTCGGAACTGGTTGGCGTGGGGAGGGGGGGGTTGCTGGTGAGTGGCAGCCCTGCCCCCGGAGCCCCAGAAGGGGCCGCTGGGCACCGACAGCGCCATCTTCTCCCTGTGGGCCCTTGGGCCTTGCTGGGCCCGGCCGTGGCACTGCGTGACTGAGGGGCTGAAACTCACAGAGGCTCTACTACCAGGCCAAGTATTGGTGACAAGCCGAGTAACCGTCACTCTCTTTCCAGTCTATTCTACCTACGCTGCCAGTGTGAGCTTTACTAAAACCAACCAACTGACCCAGATCCGGGCTGTTGTTTATGTCCATGCTTCACGTGGGGCCTGCTGCCCGGTGAAGGAGAACTGAGACGCCTCAGGTCCACCCAACCCCTCCCAGCTGAACTGCCCCAGCCAACACACGCTCGCTCGGGGCTAGCCTTCCGCGCAGCACACTTTCCTACCTCCGGTAGGTCTCTGTCTAGAATGCTCTTCCTCCGGCTCCCCATCCCCACACGCCCAAATCTGATCAGCTCTCAGTAAACGTCCCTGGACCTTCCCCCCTCCCTCCCTCTCACCGACTCGCCGCTGGGCACCCCATACTGCGCCATTTAATGCCGGGCAGTGCCCCCACTCCGGAAGCACCAGGATGCCTTTGTCCTCTGCAGGTTCCTGTGCCCAGCGAATGTTTTTGAACACACACATCAATGAGCCATCTTTAGAGGCCTGCCAAGGACTCACCGATGGTGCATTAAACATTTTGCATTTTCCCTAATTGCTCTCTGGACAGTGAAGCTTCTCAGCCCTGAGAATCCATCAAGGGCTCCAAGCGATTTGGAAAAACAGAATTCAGGGGACCAAGGGGAGAGGAGCAGCGACTGTGCAGCCAAGAGCAGTGCGGGGCGGTTAGCCCGGGGCCCTCTTAGTGCAGCCACCGCGCTGTGTCGCTGTGTGGGGTCCTCTGGGTGGAGGCACAGTGACAAGCTGGGCGTGCCGAGATGCAGCCAGCAGCAGAGCTGGGCTCTCTCTCGCTCTCTCCTGCCAGCACACATTGCCTCCTGGGAAGTTTCCCTTCCACCTAGTGCAGAACAAGGCTTGCTCTTGAATAAGGTCTACACGTCTTAAACAACCGCCTTTTCCTGGTAGAACAGGTGTAGCTGTGCATGGTGACATGTTGGGAAGCTGCTGGTCCGGGACAATGTGTTTCCTCCAGAACACTGTGCCGACTGGCAGAATGAGCCTGTGCTCATTGGTTCTGTGTCCACTTCCGTGTGCTGAGTGAGTACTCTAGGCGGGTCGGAAGGTGGCTGCACGGAGCTTGTGTGTCTGCACCCTCAGTGGCGAGGGACTCTCACTCACACACATGCAGCACATCGTTCCAGCCTGCCCCGACCCACAGAGGTGGCACACGTCACCCTCAAGAACCCATAAGTGGCAAGTCCGTGTGCACAGGCCCTCAGCATCTGACTCTCGCACCCTGTCCTCTGGTGCCTCTCCAAACCGGACCCTTTCCCACCCTGCCCTGTCTTAGATGTTGGACTCTGCTGAGAGTCCCCCCGCCCCCCATTCTTTCCAGCTGTCACCCCGGCCTGATCACGGCGCTCCTCCTCGATTCCTGCCAGGGTCTGGGTCCCTTCCCTGGGATACAAGCTCCCACACTGCCTGCCACTGGGGCCAACCTCGTCCAGCCTGTCTCCCACCTGCCACGAGTACCAGTTCTGGACTGAGTCACTTTGTTTTTCCTGGTCTAGAACGAGAAGCGGCATCTTGAAGCAGCAAGTGCAGGAGTCTCCAAAGGGCCGCCTACTACTGGCTGTCACCTCGTGCAAATTATTTACGACTCCAAGCCTCAGTTGCCTCGTCTGCAGGAGTACGGCAGAGGGCCTCAAACGATGAAGAGGACAAATACAAAGGACCAGCGCCCACGCCCAGCAGAGAACATCTCCCCAGCGGAGGGCGGCTCCCTTTACTCGGTGCTTCTCTCTTCCAAAGCCTTTGCCAGCACCAAGACCAGAGGCGACAACAGATGGACATGGGCTAGTTCAACCGGGCGCCATCCCGTGGGCCGCCATGCTATCGCCAGAGACCGTGACTCCTGACCTGCCAGGCGGGCCAAGGAATGTTCTTTTCTCCCAGTTGGTATCTGCACTGGCAGAGGACAGAGAGCCTCGGATCTGACACGGCGGCGGGGGCGCCCACACATTTCAGACCCGGGGGCCCGCCTCACCCTTGGCGGAGTCGTCGTAGCCGATATGCCTGATCGTGCTTCTCACCACCCGCTGGTAGTCCACTGTGGCCGTGGAGGTGATCTCTCCGCAGAGTAGCACCATGCCCGTCTTACACACCGTCTCTGCAAGAGAGGGGGCAAGGTCAGCGGCCACGGGCCAGCCGAGGGGAGCGCCACTCCTGGACCCCCGCACAGCGCTGATAAAGGGACTCACGAAGAGTCTTGCGAGGCATGGGTGCCGAAAATGAGGGAACAATGCTAACAAGCAGAGTAAATCCCGGCAGAAGTGCTGACCGTGTGTGAATGCTGCCCGGAGAACTACGCTTTGGACAGACCCGGTCACACCTCGCTTTCACAGTGACCCCGTCCTTCTCACGTGGTCTTGGACCACTTATTTAGCGTAATTCAGCTTCCCCAACTGTACATGAAGACAACGTTACGCCTGCCGCGTGGCTCAAAGTGAGACAACAGTGGCAGGTGGTTGTCATAAAGAATGCTGTCAACATGCCTCCGGGAGGCCTCTCCCGCCCCTTGTTGCTAATATTCCACCGCAGGCTGAGGTCCTGAGATCAGGGCAGGCCAACCTTCTCACTGGCCATTCACAAAGATATATCTCAGGGTGAAGTGTACCCTCAGAAGGCACAGGTCCCAGTGGTGCTCAACGCAGGGGCTAGGGAGGCACTGGAGAGGGAAGGAGCCGTCTGTGCAGCACACAGTGAGGACAGAGGGGCCCTGGTCTCCCTTCTGGGCACCCCTGCCCCATGACCTTGGCCAAGGCCCTGATTCAGCTGCAACCGTGATCACCTCGGGGGTCCTCCAGGCACTGGAGCCCCTGGCTCTCTGTTGTTCCCAGGGCCTCAGCACAGGCAAAGACCTCGAGCCCAGCCCACTGAGGTCTTTAGCAGGGAGTAGACATCTCTTACCACAGGCCACCTTGGCATTGGGGTCCTGCCTCAGATGGGCATCCAGCACGGCATCACTGATCTGGTCGCAGATCTTGTCTGGAGGAGAAGGAACGTGTATAAGAATCACAGAGATAGTGGGTCTAACAGACTGAAGGATCAAAATAATCAGGTATTTGGTAAGCTTACATATGAAATCTATCTACCAAAGAGGACAGACACTTCTTTAAATATACATAATTAGGAAATTTTGAAATTTTTATTTCATCCCATTTCTGCCTAATTTTGGATGATGTATATTACATGAAGTCATAGCATTCCCCCCAAAAAGACATACGTTCCAAAATCAGTTCTAAAAGACTATAGCAATTTACATAGACACACACACACACGCGCGCGCGCACACACACACACACACACACACATTCTCCTACTAAAAAGTCTCTCATTCTTTAAGATATTCCCTTTAAGTCTAAAATCTAGAAAGCTCCTAGAAATAGAAGTTAAATAGCTGGGGCGACTGGGTGGCTCAGTGGTTGAGTGTCTGACTTCAGCTCAGGTCATGATCCTGTGGTTCCTGAGTTCTAGCCCCACATCGGGCTCTCTGCTGTCAGTGAGGAGCCTGCTTCAGATCCTCTGTCTCCCTCTCTCTCTGCCCCACCCCTGACTCCCACACTCTCTCTCTCTCAAAAATAAATAAACATTAATATGTATATATATACATATATAGATAGATATAGATATCAAAATATTTAACAAGTGGATATGATCATTAAAATGTATAATTATAAAAAAAAAGAAGTTAAAATAGCTAATGATGTCAGTAAGATTAGGTGCCAACACGTAAAATCAGATGGGGCAAACAGATACATTTCTCGGCAGGTTCCATGAGCTGAAATATACTGTGTACACAACACCAAGCCCGAATCCACCACCCCAGCTGTAGAAATTCCATAAGAGAACCTCTACACATCATTGCTGTTCTACTGAACATTTCCACAGGCAGCTCTCAGATCATCCCCACTGCCACTCAGCCCCCTGAAGGCTAGATGTTCTAGCTGGGTTTGACCTCAGTCAAGGTGGGGCTGACCACAGCTCAACAGAAGCAGGGATTTGACCTTATTTTTCCACTACTTGCCTTAAGAATTCCACATGGTTGAGCATGCAGACCCCTCAGTGGCACTCTGGAAAAGTCCGCTCTTGCTTTGGGGTTGTGCAAACAGTCAATGTTCACAGATTCAGAAATAAAAGCGACACCTATTTATACATATTACATCTCATTTAATGTTCAAAATACCCGCAGAGTTGACTTTTTTAATGTTTATATACTTATTTTTGAGAGAGAGAGCAAGCTAGAGGCTGAGAGAGAGAGAGGGAGAGAGAGAATCCCAAGCAGGCTCTGCACTGACAGAGTGCACGGGGCTCGAACCCACAAACCATGAGATCATGACCTGAGCCAAAGTTAGACACTCAACCAACTGAGCCACCCAGGCGTCTCCAGAGTTGGCTCTTAATAAATTAATACAGTTTTTCCCAGTTTTATTGAGGTATAATTGGTGTACAAAACTTATCTGCATAAAATTAAAGTATATAATTTGAGGAGTTTGGACATGTGAGTACTCTTACAATATCATCACCATAAACAAGGTAAGAAACATATCTGTCACCTCCAAAAGTTTCCTTGTGTCCTCCTATTTTGTTTTTGTTTTTTGGTTTTTATATGAAGAATCTAGATCCAGAATCAAGCGCTCTGCTGTCCTAAGCGCATCATTTAAAACATTCACGTCAATGTAACTTAAAATGTTAATCTGCCATTAAAGGTGAATTCTCTAATCTTTCCTTGAGAAACTGCCACTAAACTTTTGGGCTTTCTAGGCACCCCACTCCAGTGGCAGATCCCTGCTGTAAATCCAGGTTTGTCTGATGCCACGGCCTCTGCACACCCCTACCAATGAAAGCCTGCTACTAAAATATCTCCATCAGGACTCCTAGGGTTACTCACATGCTGACCGCAGATGACTCTGCTTGTTTCAAGGACGCAGGTCACATGTCCCCAGTCCACACGGGGGACTGGGATAAGGGGTATTAGGGATAAAGCCGAGATGAGCAAGGGTGTTGAGACAGCTCCGCAGACTGAAATAACGTGTAAGGAGGCTCTTTCTGAACTGTTTCTTTAGGCTTTCAAAATTTCTATTAGTATCACTCAGTGGCTATAAGATAGCTCATAGGTGGTTTTCTTGGAAGTTGAAAAAGCATTCATTTTATCCTGCTGGTGGAAGAATTCAGCACTGGAATGACAAGCAACAAGTCCTCAAGCTTAGAGGAAGCTGACTTACGTGGACAGTTAATTGATTGTGGCAACCAAAAGGAGAGTCAGACAGACCTATCATTAAATAGACAACACGGCCATTTGATTGGCTAGAATTTTTCTTCTGTCCACTGAGCACACCGCGGTGTGTACTATGGGACCTCTGGCCACTGCGTGCCCAAGCACCCGGAGACTTTATAAAGTTACACACAATGAAAGGGGCTATTTGTTTCGAACTGAGCTAAGTCACATACAAAACTGAGTTTAAACCAAGGTTTCTTAACAGTGGTAAGAAACTGTTACTGACATTGGGGGCCAGAAAATTCTTTGCTGCAGGGGGGATGGTCTTGTGCATTCAGGATGTTTAGAAGCACACGTGGCCTCTATCCACTAAATGCCAGTGGCACCCCCAACCCCTCACAGCAGAGTTATGACAGACAACCAAAAATGTTTTCAGACATTACAAAATGTTCTTGGGGGAAGGGGGCAAAACCGCCCCCAGCTGAGAACCACCAGCTAAAGCATATGGAAGGAGATGTCTACAGCTGAGTTACAAGCTCTGAAATAACATGGATGAGGCAGATGAAAAGAAGGTAGCCTTGGCGATAAGTTACCAAAACTTTAACTTCTCAGATGAATTTTGAAAAAGTGCATAAAGAATAAGTCAGTGTGCCCAGCCCCCAAGATTCTTCTTGAGCAGTGGTTCACAAAGTGTGGTTCCCACAGCAGCAGCAGCAAAAGCATCTCCTGAGAACTTAGTAAAAATGCAAACCTTGAGCCTCACCCAAGACCTATGAAATCAGAAAAGTCTGGGGGTGGGGTCCGGCACTCTGCCTTAACAAGCCTACTAGGTGATGCTGACGCTCCCTGATGTCTGAGAACCACTGACCTACAGCCTGAGGCTCTGATCATGGTCCTCACGTTCGCACATGAGCCTCTCCCATTTCCCCACAGCACCAGAAAATACTCGAATGTTCTTCCTCTTCAGGAGATCATCTGTACTTCTCATAGATAACATACCTGAGGCTTTCAGGACCTGGAGATCTGTCTCAGCGACTACTGGAATGTGCTGTTCGTTCCTAGACTATACATGCTTTACGTGCAACACTTAGCGACCACAGTCTTGTTGGAGGGAACACTGGAACATTCTCTGTTGGTTTAAGTCGCTCAATGATAAAGCTTTGTCTTGCCCCCCAATATATAAAGCTGATATCCGATACATGTTAGACGTGTAATATGTTTAGTCAACCCAACGCGTGTTCCCTGTAGCGGCCTCATCGTGCAGAGATGCTGGCTGTGGGTGGCAGAATGAACCCTTGGCTTCATTAACTGACAACTTCTCATTTCCTAATCAGTGACTGTTTTCCAAAACTAGTAAATTAGTAAATCAATAGAATTAAAAGATGCCTCCTATGGTGCCTCCGGAGACCCCTCACAGTAATGAACACGGATTGGTTTTAAGGCCCCGGGGAAAATGGCTCCCCCGGCACAGGCTGTCCTCGGTCCACAGCCACCTACTTACCCGGGTGTCCCTCTCCTACAGACTCCGAGGTGAACATGAAGGCTCCTTCTTCACTTAGAGAGTGGTCACACAAGCCGTCCACCGGGCCATTCATCTTTGCACACTTCTCCACTGGGTTTCTTCAAGGTAACGATTTCAACGCTGTTGACTTTGCCTGAAGTGGTTTTGTGCGGTTGCCTTTTTTTTTTTTTCCTCCCCCGGGAACCCAACAGGCTTGTCTTTGGCAGAGCTACAGGGCTCGCTTCTGGGGAACTGCCTGTGAGCACGTGAGGGGAAGGTGGGGAAGGTGAGGATGGTGAGGAGGGCGGGCCTGAGTACCGACGTGTCACTCTCTCCGGCTGGTCACAGCTCGCTCCTGAGTGACTCCTATATATGGAAAAGTGAAAGGGCCTGAATAATCATGTGAGAAAATTGGAGGAGTCCATTTCCTGGGGGTGGGGGGGGGGGGGGGGGTGTCTTCTTACCTTGAGGAATTCCGGTCCTCAGCTCGGATTTCCCGAGCCCCAACGTCTGGTCAGTGCACGGTGAAGAAGGCTGTACAGATTCTGTAGAACCGAAGCTCCTTTGGGACTCTGCTTCGGCTCTGCAGCTAATCTCCATATTGGGCCGAGGTTAACATCCCACGTTGGAGGGTGGGGGTCTGTGGTGACTCAGGGATCCAAACAGGCAGCAAGGAGCCCTTTCCCAGAGATGCGGTTTCGGCTAAGGCTGCGGCACAGGGTGGCCTTTGCCACTGGGTGCTGCCTTTCCTCCCCCACACCTTGTCTGGGCTGGGCTCTCCCCCTTCTTCTACCTTCTCAGAGCAAGAGCACGCACCTGTATTCTGAGTCAGCGTGGACGTTACACAACACGTTCGTTTAGGGGAAAAGCTTTCGAGCCCACATTTCTCTGCTGATAGAAAGCACCTAAGCTGTCAGCTTCTCTAAGACACCGGCGGTCACATTAAAAAGTACCTGGACAGGTTACAGAAGACAATGCTTTTTTATTTTTTGTTTTTTGCTTTTGGAAAAAGACTCTTGAGAGATGGATTCGTTACAGGGAAATTATCCGAGTCCAGCTTCCATAAGATACATTAAACTTCGACCTATTCAGTCCTGTGCACTTGATCAACATTCTTGATCACATGATTCCCGCACTTTTTTTTTTTTTTTTTTTGCTTTGACCAAGAAAAGAAGTGAACTGGGTTACATCTGTAGCCAGTTCATGCTCTACCTGACAGCGCCTCTCTCTTCCTTCTCTCCCACTCTCAGACCTCAGGCTGCAAGAAGAGTGGGGAACTGAGATCACAGACAGTGAGAATGGGTGGAGGAACCAGTTCCCACTAGAAAGCAATAAAATGTAAGCAGCCAAAAGCTCATGCATCAAAAATATTGGACCGTGGGAAGCAAAAGGTAGGATGCGGTGGCCCCAAATCCCCTCTCTACTTAGAATGTGAGCATTACAGTTCTCTTCCTGGTGCTCTAAACTTTGAGTTTTGCCACCTGGTCAGTAGCAGCAGCACCAACTATCCAGGGAATTTAAACTATATTAAAGTGACCTCCTCACGGGATAAAGTAAGAGGTTTTACATACACATATTTCATCATTTAACAAACAGCGAGCTGGACCGCTCAGGCACAAGACTGCTGAAGGTTCGAAGAGAAAAAGCCACCGGGAAGGGATGGAAACATGAGGATCAAACAAGGACTTTAGACAACATAGCCTTGTCCTTGTCAGCACACAGGCGTCCTCCTGTTTGCACTTAAAATATTTCAACATCGCTGTCCCTTTGTAAATTTCTTCTGGGTACACTGGTTTCAAACCTGGAGGCAATATGAGCTAATGTTTAATGTGAACTGTAGACCTAGGTTAGCCTAGCAGCTAGAAGTATAGCCATTACGTTCTAACTCTGCTTTAAGAGCGAGATGGGGTTTAAGTAGCAAGTACTCAACAGGGTCCTAGAGCTGGCAGTAAGTCAGAGAGCAAAGCCCAACTGCCCTCTGAATTCCAGAATGACTCAAAGCATGGAGTGGAGGGGCATGTCCTACACAGAGAAGTGGTGTTTCCAGAAACATATGCAGGAGGCTTCTGTAGCCTGGACACAAATTCAGAGTGAGGGAAGGATCTGGAAGCACGGAGTTCAGTCCCCATCTTATGTGTGAGTCTCGTATGACATCCCCACGAAATCTAGGCCACCTTATGTTCTTTCAGCAGACAGAGGTTAGTTAACAAGCAGCACACAGAACACCGTGGATGAGAGCGTGGGCTTCAGGGCTGGAGTCCTGTGTGACCTCTAACCCACTGTCCACCGTGGGGCAGGCTTCCTAACCTCCCTCATCTGTAAAGCAGGTTAAGTAAGCATCATTGTGAGAAACAGATGTGGCCATTGCGGTAGGATGAGTATTGAGCACAGAGCTGGTGCACGATAAGACTTCGATAAAATATTCCTTAAGCACCTTCTGGGTACGTAATACGTGCTCTTCTTTTTTTTTTAATTTTAATGTTTATTATTTTGAGAGAGACAGAGACAGAGGGTGAATGGGGGAGGGGCAGAGAGAGAGAGAGACAGAGATACAGAATCCGAAGCAGGCTTTAGGCTCTGAATCGTCAGCACACAGCCCAACGTGGGGCTCAAACCCACAAACCGTGAGATCATGACCTGAGCCAAAGTTGGACGCTTAACTGACTGAGCCACCCAGGCGACCCAATATATGATCTTCTTATGTAAAAAGATAAAATGCAAGGCCCTAATAGTGCTGAGTCAGTCGAAAGATATCCCTTTTGTACTAAATGTTACCTGATTTTGTACTAAATGTACTAAAAGAAATAGCACTTGAACCGAGAGTTAAAATAGTGGTTTCAATCTGCTCCCTTTAGAGAGAACTGGCAGACCTTGGCCAAGATCTAATACTTAGAAAACTGAATCTATGGGGACTTTGTATCCCTAATTTGCCATCATAAACTCAAATTAAAACCTCCCTGGCGCACAGGCTGTCCCGCTCTCCCTTACGCATGAGTTGTCCTAATGTCCCCCCACCCCCACTGATTACCTAAGTCCAATTCAAGGTGTCAAAGGCCCACAGTTGATTTCACCTCTATGCAGCAACCTTCAACTCTGAAGCTTTGCTGACAAGCCTGTGAAGAAACTTGGCTTTGAAAACAAATAACGTTTTGGTCGGATTTACCCCTGATACTAAAATATAAAATACCAAATGAATATAAAATACCAAGCAAACGGCTGTGTTTCCAATGAGCAGTTTGTGTAAGCCACACTGACCAGTTTCATGAAGGGGCTTGGAGGGCACCCAACGCCCAGGTAACTAGTGGAGAGCACCTGGTCTGATGGTGCCTTTGGCCAGCTCCTACACTGTCATGCCTGATGGCTATGCCACAGTGCGGAGCCTGATGCAGGGCTCGATCCCACGAACTGTGCGATCATGACCTGAGCCAAAATCAAGACTCGGACACTTAACCGACTGAACCACCCAAGTGCAAACATTTCTGAACCTTGGTGAGAAACTCCCTTAAACATCAATGACATAATAACCACATGGGATATTTTCAAAGGATTTACTACTTTTGCCCTCATTAATTTAAACACAAAGTCTTCCCACATACATCATCCGGAACGTGAATAACTTATTTACGAAAGAGAGATAAATAGATTCACACTGTATATATTTTTTTTAATTTTAGGTAATTTCAACACCATATGACTTTGGTTCAGTAAAAAAAATCCACATATGCACTCCGTATACAACAGCTCTTCTGAAAAGGAAGAAAGAAATGTAGAAAGGTTTCATGGAAAAAGCAGAACTTGAGCTGGACCCCAAGGCAGCAGGGAGGCAGTAAGGACCTGGGGGCTTTGCCAGCCAAGAAGCCACAGTGTGGGTTAGAGCTGGTGCAGAGGGGCATTGCCCCAACTTTACCTGAGGGGTGTGGGGTAACTGGGCAGGGAAGGGGAGGGCCGGGAAAGCCAGGAGCTGGGGTTCAGGGCAGGAAGTAGCCATGCGGAGAGTCAAGAGAATGGGAGTTTCTATCTGACAGGAATGAAAGCTAGATTATAGAGGAAAAGGATTCCAAGATCAGAGAGAAGAGGTAAAACTCCTGCCTGGATCCAGGAGTAAACTAAAGAGGAACAAATGCTCAGATATTCATATAATGTGAATCTTGCTATGCATTGTCATTGTTCAAAACCCTGTTGCTTTTCAAAAAAAAAAAAATTAAAAAAAAAAAAAAAAGGGGCGCCTGGGTGGCGCAGTCGGTTGAGCGTCCGACTTCAGCCAGGTCACGATCTCGCGGTCTATGAGTTCGAGCCCCGCGTCGGGCTCTGGGCTGATGGCTCAGAGCCTGGAGCCTGTTTCCGATTCTGTGTCTCCCTCTCTGTCTGCCCCTCCCCCATTCATACTCTGTCTCTCTCTGTCCCCAAAAAAATAAATAAACGTTGAAAAAAAAATTTTTTTTTAAATAATTAAAAAAAAAAAAAAAAAAAAAACCCTGTTGCTTTTCTAACTGGAATCATCCCTTCCCCCAAACACATACACCCCAGCTTCTGAGACTTGTGATCCGGACAGCTTATTTCAATTTCCGATCGTTTATCATCTGTATCCAATTTCCCACAAAGCTTGCCAACGATTCTTTCTCAGTGGTGTTTTTGGAATTCTCCCCTTCCATGTTCATGTCCACAAACAGTCACCTCTACGCCCATTGTTGACATCTCACATTTGAGTTAGGCACCAGCTGGGCCCACCCTCCCGTACCAACATACCCTTCAGTGGTGGTACCATGCTACACATAGTAGGTGCCTTAAAGCAGCCTGCCAATTGGTACCTAGAAAAAATGAGCAGCCTCGTACACTACCTCACCTCAGTTAAGCTGTGCAAACAAAATATTTACACAAGAAGAGCTAGACAATCTCCCAGAAATACTCCCATGCTAGGATACCACTCAGCTGTCAAAACATTAACCACGATGTCACCTGCAAAAATATGGATGAATTGAAATAATATTCAGTGAAACAGGGGCCAAAAGAGAATATACAATATCCCTTTTAATAAAAATAAAACAAGGTTTGTAACATTTACTTTTTAGGAATAGGTAAAGGTTCAATAAAGGA